AGCTGTACGCTGTATTGGTTTTTGCAGCCCTATATTCATGTTTTTCAGTCTTAATTCAAAGGTTCTGTCAGACTCGTTGCTGGAAGATGAGTTCTTCAGCATTATTCCTATTCATTTCTGAGTCTGCTGTACAGAAGTGACAATGCTGGCATTAGCACTTCTATGCCTGGAAGGCAGCGTTATTGCTCAGCTAACTAAATTGTTAGTTAGACTAACTAAGAAATTGTTAGACTAACTAGGAAAATCCTTCCTGAAACAGCTCATGATTTCATTTGTGTTCAGGTTTTTCCATCTTAGACTTAAGGCAGTAACAGCTTCAGCCCATTTACTCCTTCTAGATCAAAGTGTGCTCCTCTTGGCGCCCAGGCAGAAGGACTCTGATGTCCCTCAGGAAGGTTTTACCTAATGTGCCTGTCATCTGGAGGAGCAGGGACAGTGACAGTGTCTCTTTCATTTCTCACAAACGTGTTTCAAAGAGAGTAATCTGTCATTGCAGATTTCTGAGAGCAACAAGCCATTTTTATTCCTCTTTCAGCTGGAACATCAGGCAAAAAGTCTTCCTCAGACGGTTCCCTCTCTTCAGGAAGCCACTCCACCTGCTCCATCCTGGCCACAGCAAAGCTGCTGCCTGGAGCCCCTCAGCAGCCGGTGAGTCCTGCCTCTCAGTGTGGCCATGTGGCATCATCTTCATCTCCCCCATCCATGCAGACATTGAGCATCAAGTACATAATGCTTTTGTTGTACAAGGAAGGAAGTCCATTGCCTGCCTGAGCTGGAAATGCTAAGATGAGTGTGGTACTGTAATACTAGACTATAGGACCATCTGGACCTGAGAAAAATAGTGTTAAATTGTCAAGAAGGAGAGGCTGAAGAGCAAGGAGAGAGAATGGTGCACATCCAGGGCACTGCTAGTTCATTTTCTATGATGTTCTTTGACGAATGCTAACTTGAATTTTGAGCACCACGATAATGTGCTTTAATTCTCTTCTTACCTCGTTTTGATGGGATGCCCCAGAGCCTGACATCCAGGAAAAGTCTTCTGGTGCCAGCAAGGCTGCCACCCTGTCAACAGGAAAATCAATACCCAAATGTGGAAACACCTCCCCACTCCTGTCTTATTAGATGGAAACCATAATGCATTGAACAAGGGATGGCTAAGGGACCAGCTGTGGCAGTTAGCTATCTGCCTTTCTCCTCAGCTGATAACAAAGGCCCAGTGCTTGCCAAGAGACTCTCCACCATTTCTGTAGGATTTCTAGATTTCTGAACAGCCATTGGCAAAACCAGAGCTTTACAGGTGTGTGAGCTTAGCCATAAGATCACAAGTACACAAGAAAAAATGATTCTCTCAGCATTACTCATTTTTGTATTTTTTATCGAAGCCTAAAGTTCGTACTGGAATAAGTAAACCTTACAATGTCAAGCAAATCAAAACCACCACTGCTGAGGAAGCAGAAGAAGCTATCAGATGTCTTATGGAAGCTAAAGGAGGTAAGCCTAGCTTTCTAATGGACTTTCCAAAAATCTTTAAATACAGAATTCTGCAGGTGTATTTATCCTTCTGCTGTCATAGCCCAAATGCTATATTATTTCTGTTCAGAGGCTCTGCTGAACATGGACATGCACATTCTTACAAGACTTTTCTTAGTGTTATCTGTCAGTTTTGATAATGCTGGCCTTGTTTTCCAAGGTAACTCAAGTTGAATATTTTGTTGCAGAACCTGTTGCTATGAGCATTTGGATTATTGATGTCCAGATCTAGTCTGAAAAATTAAAAGAAAGCTGGAATCGAGTGCTCGTGTTACCTCAGAGTTACATTTGCTGCTCCACTTAGTGATGTTCACAGTTCCTAACTGAGCTATAGAGCAAATACAGCAGCAGGAGAAATAACCTGGATTTTATTCACATTTGCATAACAAGTATAGTTGCTGCCTGCATAGAAGTCTGTAGGACCTTTAGCTGAAATATCTGTGCTGAAAGGCTGCTCTCTATATGCTCTCTGTCAAAGCCATGGAGATGAGAGTTTTTCACAAGGGCAACTCAGAGCAGGAAATTTAGGCCGTGTGAATATGTTCTCTGGAGTTTCAAGCAGCCTTTTTTTGCTGATGCTGTATAAAGAAGAAAGAATGCATTATGATTGGAGAGCAGTATCTGAGTCTGCAAGGTGCTCAGTTTAGGAGAAGAACAACCCCCTTTGTTTGTAAACACAGTGCAGTCTGGAATAATCCATTTTAATTAGAAATATCATAAAGGCACTTTGATGGTTGTTCTTCAGACACTGCTGTACATTTATCTTTGAAATCAGGTTTACTCCCCATTAATTCTGAAATTTCATTTCATCAGCTTGGGTAAGGAAACCAGCCTAGTCAGCATGGCTTTCAATAGCTTGTGCTCTACCCTAGTTAGCGTTTACAATTCTTTGCTTACAGGAAGCACGCAGTGTTGTCACCTTGTTTATCCAGATCAGAGAACTGGAGCAAAGGGAGGCTCAGAATGCAAGCCCAGTATTTCTGCACCCCAGCAGTGTTTAGCCCACTTGGCTCAATGGTGACACAGCGCTGCATGTTGGCGTGAAGTATTTCATACAGGGAAGGTTTTCCTCAACTGCTGTTTACAAAACGTCACTTACAAGTTATAGACACAGGTTCACAGAGATCTGTTTCTCTAAAACATGCATTCTGGGCATCAGCACTGTATATGCCCTTTAGACCATGCACATTTTGGAAAACATGACTGTAAAAGGAGGTATTTTGCTGCTAAGACACTAATTGGTTTTGCTTTTCAGGATTACAGGAAGATGCACTGAAGCTTGCTCCAACTCGAAACCAAACGTTCACCAAACCTGAGCCTGTTCCCAGCATCACAAAGTCCCTGTCCTTTCAGGGCCCACAGGCAGGACCAGCACTTGTGCCCCATCGGCCTCCACCCAAAGTTCCAACTACGAAGAAGCCAGTACCCCTGCAAAGGGCTGGAGCCAAGATGGAAAATGTGAGTTGGAGCCTTAAATGGTGTGAAGGATGAAAAAAGGGTGTGCGGGGGGAGCTGTTAAGCAGTTGTTTTGAAGCCCTAACGTTTAAACAGTGCCCAGTTCTTAGTCAGCAGGCTCTGAAATGGTATTGCTTGCTGTAGTCATAAAAACGTTTGAGGCAGTCAAGAAAGGAAAGGGAACCTCAGGTTTTTACTCAGCTTTTCTCTTTGTGAGTCTGTTTTCCTAGATGTAGTTACTCCTGGTTTGTCTGAGCACTGTCAAGGTATGTGGCACTGACTGTGAAAGTGTCATGGCTCCAGTATTCTGCTTCCTCTCCTCATTGCATCAGCTTTGTTTTAAGGAGGAGACCACAAAAAACCACTGACTGTCTCATGTGGAAATCACCCTCTATGCTTTTTTTCTTCCTGTGTTTTTACTCTGTTGATTATGAAGCATCAGAGCCATCTTTGCATCACCTGTAGCTACATTTTTGCTTGTTTGTTTGTTTTGTTTGATTGTTTTCAGTAAAATCAGGAAGAAAGACTTCCAGGTACAGAATTGCACAGAAATTTCTTACTTTTTCAATACTGGCACTCTTTGGCTTTTTATTAAACTAAAGGGCAAAGCCCAGCTGCTTTACTATAAGGCAGAGGTACACATCTTCAGAATAAAATTCTGCTTTGAATCCCAAATAGAAAAAGGCAGCTGATGTGCAGGTTTTAAGAGTCATCTCTCCCTTATCACAGTGCTTACTTTTAACCACAGCCGGAGTGTTCTGCTCCATACTGTGTCAGCTTCTTTCTCCATATGCTGTTCGCTGTCCTGTTCATCCAACTATTTTTTCACATGCCTGATAATGGGATTCAGTGTTTCACTTTGGATTTTGGATTCTACTCAACAGATCAGGATCTTAAAAATACAAACCTGTAGGTGTGGGTTCTTAATCTGTCTCTCTGTCAGGTCTCTACACAGACTGTCTACAATTTCTTTCCTCTTAGAACAGCTGAAATGCAGCAGTTGAAGTTCAAGACAAAAATATGTAACCTTTTAGATTCTTCCTTAGAGCCTCAGCAAGCTCTGTGCTAAGTTAGGACTCTTGCAAAGGCCTTCACCCCTGTCTAATGGGGTTTGAGCCATCTCCACTTATCTGAATCACGTAAGAATTAAAAACAGGCAGCACCCTGTGTGCCCTTTCCTTCATCACTCAAAAACTAAGACTAGTCTATTTATTTTATGTTTATCCTTCCTCCATGCATAGGGCAGTCCTACGAAGTGCTGAGAGGCACTGTTATCCTGGTGTTGTATGAAAGCTTTTGCAGGAATTTCTCTATTTCAGTTTGACTCTCATGTCAGACTTCCACCTCTTCCCCCAGGTGAGTTCAGAGTGGAGTGCTGTACTAGAAAATCTCTATTCAGTCCACTTTTATTATTAAAAAGGTATGCAAAGGTAACTCAATAGCAGCCTACAGACAGCTATGGCAGAGGATACGTCCATCAAATATTTGGACTGCATTAAAGAAACCTGTATATTACGTTTAATATTATGGGACAGTAGTAAAGCATTACAATGTTTTCATTCAGCTACACTGATTACATACAGTGAGCATGAGAAATCTGAAGCAGCCACAGCCTTTTGGACTATTTCTTACATTTCTGTATTTTTAAATAGCAAAAACATACAAACTAAATTGCATTTTGAGAATTTGCTTTTAGCTTCAGTTCCTAGCATCAGTGAGACGTGCCAATGCCATTAATAACTTTCTTAAGTTAGTTTAAGCCAATTGTCCTTCAAGCTTATGTACTAGAACATGGCCAAAGGCGTGAGCTCATGGCCCCATTAATTCAGCCCTCACGCATTCTTGCTTAAATAATACTAGGCAGCAGGGAGATGTAACAAATAAATAACTCTTCAGAACTGTGTTAATTCAGCCTGGAGCTAAATCCTAACATGAGAAAGAGATGCTCAGAAAGAGAAGTAATTTTCATGCAGAGAGTGAACAGGGCTGGAGGATCCTTGTCCTCAGATAGCATGCTTGGACACTGGTCCAAGGCATAATGCTTGAGGAAGAATCAAACAAGCACAGTTTCAAATGGTGCTGTCAAGCCGCCTCTCTGTACTGCTTGTTTTTTTCAGTACTGTCAGCTTTTCTCAGCAATGCCATCAGTAAAACTTGCACTGGAAGCGACTCAGAGTTTAAGGTACCATGTTTGTTCTCAAATTTATTACTCCTTTTCACCCTCTCAGGCCACATCTAGAGAAGAGCGATTTGACCAGCAGACAATACAGAATCCCTTTGGCTTGCCAGAGCCCTGTCTAGAAGATGCAGCTATTCTCAGTCCGACCAAGATTACTCCAGTCCCTAAGCCTAGAACATCACAACCTGGGAAGCCTCAGGAGAGCAGGGGGAGCAGTGACAAGCAGCCCAACTCCCCAAGCACAGCTGAGGCCAACGCACCGCCTCCCCAGAACGCTTCCTTCATCCCAAAGGTGCCACCACGAAGAAAAAAGTCAGCTCCTGCAGCTCTTCATCTGCAAGTTCTCCAGAGCAGCGACAACTCACTTCTTAGAGAGTTAATGTTCAACTCCAACAACAACAATCCTGGCTGCCCCCAGCCTCAGGACTCTGTCCTTCAGGTTGCCTCCATGTGCTCTGCCCTCTCAGTTCCTACACTCGCTGCCAGCCAAGGAAATAACACAGTCCCACAGCTGGCACCCAGTACAGAATTGATTACTGTAGCAGAAGGCCAGCCTCCGCTGCTCTCGGATAGCAGCTCCCTTGCAAAGAACACTAATCTCTTGGACTTGGACACAGATTCTTCCTGCCATCTTTCCAGCCAGGTGCCGTCAGCAGTTTCTGCAGCACACAGTCCAGAAAACTTGAAACTCCCCAGTCACTGGGTGACATTCAGTGATGATGAAGACAGTGGTGCACTGTCAGAAGGGTTCAACAAACTGCTTGACCTAGAACAAAACAAAAACAGCTTGGAGAATACAAATAATAATTTAGAATTGTAGAACTCATCCCCTCGATGTTCCTGTAGAAGTACTAGTAAGAATGCAAAAGTTTGCATAAAGGTTTTTATTTAAGGAGATACATCATCTGTCCATGCTACATTTCATTTTCATTTTGTTTAAAGACAAAGAAACTGCCCCTGGAGGGAGGTGTACAGAGTATATACAACCTAGTGTTATCCAGTTTGTTTGAGAAGTTCTTTATTCTAAGTTATTTCTTTTTATTAATCCACCCGAAGATATTTTATTTCAGTTAGAAATCATATGCAAGAACATGTATGAGGAAAAAAAAAAGTTAATAAAAACATTTTCATTTGACATGTATATATTAACCTATTTCTGTCACCTAAAATAAAGTAGCCTTACCTTGAATAGACTGCTATAGTTATTCTGGAACAGATATCCCCAGGAGGAACACATATCAGTGTAACTACAGCAGTAATGCTGGTATTATTATGCCAGTAAGTTTCCACCGTGGAAACAAGGCTTAGGCATTATCTGCATAGAGATAGCTGCAGTCCTGGCAGACCACAGTGCTTTCCTTGTTAAACTCATTCTGCATAGAAAGTAAAATACAAGGTGTGGTTTCTGAGGCTGGGAAGCAGAAGCATGAGCAGTGTTGCCTGAACAGCAGCAAGAAGGACCTGGTTTTGCTCCAGCTCAGGACAATGACTGCTCCCCTCCCCCCATATCAGAACAGGTCTCTTCGAAGTGCAGTTCTTTTAATGGCTTAAGAACACACCTCAGCTATCCTGAAATTATCTGCTAGCCTCTCAAAATATTGCTCTGCCTGTAGGGAGACTAATGGCACCTTTTGTAGTTTTCTTCCACTTTTCCAAAACACCATCCTGGTCTTTGTTCTCAGCAAGCCTACCCTAAACAACACACGTACTTTCCACTAATATAGCATATGGACAAGGACAGTTCTTTTGGAACATGCTGCTCTTGGAGCCTAACAACTTTATTCCAGTGCAACTCAGGCTGTCAGACCCTGAAGCTAAGCCACAAGATACACAACTGGGGATAGCAGAATCATCCTCTAGAGATTAAGGCTCTCTCACAGCCCAGTAGGGAGCTCAGCTTGGAGCTACCTGGTGTGCTTCTAGGGATAGGATGCAGGCAGCTGCATCAAAGACTAGAGAATTCTAAGAAGCATGCATAAGCCTGCTGTTTAGGTGCACTATGCATCTATACAGGGAGTGCCCTAGGAGGCAGTCTCAGCACACACTGTGAGGCTGTACACAATAATCTGTTCAGTGTAGGTTCTTGCAAGCAAAAGGTTTAAAAGAGAAGAAGATCATGTTTTGTGGTTCAGAAAATGATAATCTAGCAGGGGAAGCATCACCCCAGTTACAACTTCAGAAACTCCAAGCAAGCATTCCTATGTGCCTGCTCTGCTCCTCCCTGGCATTTTCCATCAGTCTGCTGGGCACATGTTTCAGGTGAGTTTATCTGGCTTACTCTGGTGAGCTCATGCAGTGGTGCTGCTCAGCTCAGAGCAGGCATGAGCTTCTTCACGGAGCCATTACTCGTTTATCAGCAAGCCAGCAGTCACGCTTCTCAGAAGGCCATGATTTCAGTAGGATATCCATGGTGCTTGGCTGCAACTGTACAGGATCTCACCTGGCCCGCGTAGTACCGCTGTGCAGCACAGATGCCATTTGTTTGCCATCTTGTCACAGTAACTTGTTGATTTAATAACAAAAGATCTTAACTATTTATTTTTCCTTCTTCCTACAGGAAGATTTTCTGACTGACTTGTTCTCAGCTGCTTGGAAACCACAATTCAGCAGCCTTCTGACTTCACTGCCACGTGTTCTGTGCCTTGCTGCCACGAGCACAAGAGTGCACACAAGGCACCCGGTAAGAGGCTCCTGCCTTTCTCTGTGCACCCTCCTCCTCTGCTCCCTCATTTGCCAGACACTTCAAAACAAAAAAATCCCAAAAAACTCGAAAGACAAATGCATGAAACCTTGAGTTGAGCTTCTTGTAGAAGTGTCAGGTTGGTGAAGCAGGAAGAAGCAGCTGGTCCGTTCCTCACACAGAGTCTCGGACTCCTCAAAAATACAGCGATTATTTATGGACACGTATCAGTACAAAACATCGAGAGCAGTAAAAAAGAAAGTACGTTATATGGCCATATCCACCTGCAAAGATAATTAACAGCTCTAGGACAGCTAATTTAAATGGTAATGAAAGTAAGTGGTAGCAAGAACGCCCATTAAAGTAGATTTATACAAGTCAAATAAAGCCTACTTTATTACTCTCTCTGAACACAAGTATGTGGCCTCTAGCATTCTGAGTGATGGCTGCATCTGTGGCAAGCTGCCCATTAAAAGAGTCCCTGTAGCTAACTGGTTGGTGCTGTCAGCAACAGCACATCCCTGTCAGTCACAGCACCTCAGCAGAAAGAAAGAAACATCCCAGCTGAAACAGCAGCAGCACAGAGGGAGCAATGTGCTGCCTTGAGATGTTATCCTTCCTGCTTGTGCCCAGAGCCAAGTGCTTTTCAGAGGCAGGTGTTCATGACCTGCATTCTAGTTTTAATGGTCAGGACAAGCTAAGCAGGGCCAGACTCCCTCTGCATTTGTGAAACCATCACAGAACACTGCAGGAGGTGAGGATTCTTCCCTCTAATCCTCGCCTAAGCCTGCCCTCCCCACAAGATGAGCAGAGGAACCCAACGTTGTAACTGCTATCTTCTCTTTTTTACTATTGAGAGATGTTTTCTTCAGCCTCCTGCTCACACCACACTACACCAGTGCTATTTCCACCGGGGTAGCAATGGCATGTATTTCACAACTTTCCTTCAGGAAAAACAGGAAAAAACCAATGTATTTAACCAGTAGCCTGCCTGGAAGGCTGTTTGATTTCTCCTTTTAGCCTCATGAGCTTTTTAGGCAGAACATAACTGAAAGATAAAGAGAACCAAAAAACCTAAAATATTTACTGGAATTTTCACTCAGAAAATTGTCTAAAACTGATAGTTTAACTGGAGTGAAAACTTCTCCTTTCCTGGCCAGCTATATTGCCCAGCACCACAGAACACAAACCACAGAGAAAAGAAACCCTCCTTGCACAAGTGTGAAAATAGCAATCTGAACTTGATTACTACCAGAAAAATTACTACTAGATAAATATCACTACTAGAGTGCTGGACAGTCCCAAGAGCAAAGACTGACCCACTCCTTATGAACACTCCCTTCCCATCTTACCACTTGCATCCCACCATGCAGACGAACTACCAGCATTCACAGCCCTGGCCACATCTGCTGCTGGGTTTCCAGCTGGGATGGGATTAAGGGCACAGTTTGAATCCTATGAATTTATACAAAAACACTTTTTGGAATTAACGTGACGCTAGGGAAGCATAAGAACTTAAGTTTCTAATGGGAAGCAGACAAGAATGCCAGATGCCACCCCATTTGCCCTCTGGGTCTAGAACCAATGTCTCTATATGGCTCAAGCAGCCCTTTTGCAAAACCTAGAAGCACAACTGAAAAAATTCCCCAGTCTGGCAAAACCACAATGACCAGCTGTGACCCCACTTCTATGCCTTCTACCTTAGATGAAGGATAAACATTACATTCTTCCAGCATGAGACCATCTCTAAGGAACAGGTCTTCAATAAATATGAGCATGAACCAGGGCATTCTTTTTACAATCAATCACCTTTAATATATATTGTGGTGTATTTAGTGCATTTTTAAAAACACATTTTGTAACTATTCCCAAAAAAGCACAACTGAAAGTATTAGTTTTAGAAGTGTCACATATATATATTTAATAACAAAAAAGAGAAAGTTGTCTTGACAGTTCCAGTTACAGTACCAAAGCACAGATGCATTACTGAACAAAATTAATGTGTAACATCAGTGATCTGAATCCCTTTAAGCCAAAGAAGTCCATTAAAATCACTACAAGGTTTGTCACACCAAGCAGAGTCAGTTATTAGAAATCGTCTACTGGCAATGGGATTGACATACTCTCAACTTCGTGAGTACAAAGTGTTCTAATATATTTACACTTTGAAGTTTAAACCAGAGTTTAAACGGGGTAAACCTCTTCAGAAGTTATGACAATTCTGTTACATTTTCTACCTGAAATACTGCCATCCAGTGTTCTTTCCTGTATCTTGATTATGGGGAAAAAATGCTCTTCTGTGAGTGTAGTGCTGCACATTCTCTGTACTGTTGCGGGTTGTGAATTTTACCATGCAACTTCAGCAAGAATCAACTTCCAAAAAATGTGTTTGTAGCCGTTGTGTTCTCCTGGGCCAGAGAGCTCTGTAATAAAAACAGCTGCCTCAGAACCCGGCAGGACAGCAGTGGCCTCTGACACCTGCACCAAGCCCATAAAGGACTGCACCACATCTCTCTGGTAGCTTTTAGAGCCATTATTCTAAGGCTGGTAAGATTAGATCCTTATCATACAGGTGATGCTAAGAGACATCCTCTGCATGTCATCAGGCCTTACGTAACAGTCAGCCACAGGAACGCAGCCTAATCATATCCTGTTTGTCTTCAGAAAGAGCTGGGAGTGAAAGGAAGGTAGGAAAGAAATGGCACTTGCACTGGGCTTCTCTTACTATATTGTAAACTACCTAGGATTTAAGAAAGTGACTGAGTGCTGCCATTTTTTTCCTAAAAATAATTATTTCTCATCAGTGCTGTTCAGGTATCCTTAACGTGAACAAGTTCAAATAAGACAGTGCTTTTGTCTTGCTCTGTATCTACACCAGTAAATACACGTGAGCACCCTGGGACCCTCTGCCTTTCAACTGGGATCATATAATCACTCAATTTTTATTTCCTGTTTAAATTTTCCCTCAACCTGAGCTCCAAACTCCAAGCATCAGCTTCCTTGTTGGGGTCTGCAGCTGTCTTACCCCACGAGAGCATTTTCAGTGCTCTTCTTAAATCAGCTGAAGATCTTCTAAATGAGTAATGTGAGCTGGGGACACCTATTCAGTGCATCCCATGAGCCTTTAAAGAAAAACATCCTGGCCTCCGTTCCAGATGACCAAGCACAGAACTGCCCTCAATCTGACTGGATACATGCTATCTTATAGAAAGTAATCTCAAAAGTCACTAAGATTAAAAGAGAAATGTACAAGAATGTAAACATTTGTGCTTTTTTTTTTCTAAATGTTTTTCTTCTCACTTATACAAATGGATTAAATCAACTACAGCTGTTTATGCAAGACAACCTCCAGGAATTAGTAAAGCTTTATCTCTTTCTCAGACAGAAAACAGATGCTGTCTTTGCTAACAAATCTGGGTAAGTCTATTAAACAAAAAGACAAATTACAAAAATGTCTTAATTGGGCCACTAACTAAAATGCTACCTTCACACACATGAATTTTCTGAGACTTCTGACATACTAAACATGGAGAGTAAACCAAAGCTTTAAGGCAACCACATGCTTCTTTCCACCTTTCACATAACAAATAACCATCTCAATTGTTTCTCACACAAACCATGAGACTTAAAGTCCCAAATGCATATGGACATTACTGAGACCACCTAACTTCAGAGCAACCTTTCTTGGCTAAAAGGAGATGCACTGGGCACCCTCCATACATCATCTGTGTTACTCCAGAAGGACATCTTCATCCGTTCTCAGCCAGATCACTGGAGAATCTGCACATGGTTTGCCAACAGATCATGCTTACTCTAAGCCAACACCCATTTTCTTTTTGCCAAGTTTGTATGAGTTTGTTTCAGTTTGTATTTGTTTTGAAGAGATTTCAGAAATAAGTTAGTGATGTCTCTTAAGTTCAAGATGTACCAAAAATTGTTTTAGCAGTAGATACTATTGACACATATCGTATCTTTGCAGTTTTGCAGATCCTCTAACAACTGTTAGGAGAACTTACTGTGTTACACTACATAGAAGTAGACAAGGATGGCAGAAACCTCATTCCCCAAGGTCAGTGGCTAAAACATCCTGAATGAACTTCAGTGTACGCTGGTACAGGAAAGCATCCTTCTTCTTTGGCTTACAAATATTAAGATGATTTACATCCACTGGAATAAGTTCTCCAATACCTAACTCTGGGAGAGAGAAAAAAGAAGAAATAATGATCACAGTTTGTAAGATTAGCTGGTCTGAAAAGCACATCCTGCATTAGCAATTGCTCTCTCAAAAGCAATTCCCCATCTGCCCTTTAACTGCTTTGGCTTGGTGATTTTTTAATGTGCTAAAAGCATCAATACCTGCTGTTAATAGTCTGATTGGCTAAACATTGCTCCAAAACCCATGCTGGTAAACCATTTGGTCCAGAGTTCTACTATCTTTATTAAGAATTCCTATTAGCAGTTTATTAATTTTTTTTTCTTATTTTCTAAAGGATAACATAGCTGGAATTTGCAGGAGACTCTGAAACACTATTCGGCCTAGCCATACAAAGACAATCAGTTGCTCATTATTAGAAAGGAAATGACTGTTACAATGTAACATCAGCCATGTGTCCAGTCAGCATTTTTTCAATAAGTATTGTTGGCATTTGGAAAACTCAAAACTAAACTGCTATCATGAACTACAAACACAGCTGCCTCCCATCTCAGCAGGCAGACTGTAGTTAAGTTTAAACAGCCAAAAGTTTAAGCAAAGGCTCCAAACATAACAGATGTTTTTTCCAAGGTCTTCCTACCACCGAATCCCCATTATCAATGCCTACAGGAATATATATAAAATTAAAGAAAATTAAGTGACTATTTGACTTACTTGCTGACTCCAGAGGTACAACATGCAGTTTCAACATGCTGCCTATATGCGTTGGCAAGGTTTCTGCAAAACTCAGCACTGGAAATTTCTTATCTTTGGCAACAGACAGGAAGTCATCATTCAGCACCTTAAGGGCAGGAGAATCTGTGAAAGGATAATGTTATTTTTGCAGCTTTATCTTGAACAGAAAATTAGAACTTGTGTCTGCAAAACTACAGTCCCCATAAAGTGCTTTGGAAAAATCAAGAACTCCAGTAAAAAGGAGTAGCGCTCTGCTTGTAATTCCTTTTCCCAGCAATCATATGTAACATTTCTTTCTGCATAACACAGAATTTATACAGAAGACAAAAATCTGAAGTCCAGCACACATTACTTTGCTAAATCACAGAATCACAGAACTGTAGGGGTTGGAAGGGACCTCCAGAGATCATCGAGTCCAACCCCCCTTCCAAAGCAGGTTCCCTACAGCAGGTCGCACAGGGAGGCATCCAGGCAGGTCTTGAACATCTCCAGAGAAGGAGACTCCACCACCTCCCTGGGCAGCCTGTTCCAGTGCTCCGTCACCTCACTGTAAAGAAGTTCTTGTGCACATTTGTGCAGAACTTCCTATGCTGCAGTTTCCAGCCGTTTCCCCTTGTCCTGTCTCCACTCACCACTGAAAAGAGTCTGGCCTCGCCATTCTGCCCCCCACACCTTAGATATTTATAGACCTTAAATGACCTACACTACTCCTCTGTAAATTTGTTCTGATTCTCTTTCCCCCCTCCATGTCTGTAATCAAATAGAAAAGTTACTCTTGACAGTTCAAGCTACAACACTAAGCATAAGAAGGGCAGTTGTAGTTTTTATCCAGCTTTTTCTGATAGCGTGATTTAAAAAAATAAAAAAAAAAAGAAAAAAAGCATCATGAACAGATTAGCAGAGATCTCTACTGTTACATGGTAGCAAAGTGTGACGTACCCTTGCTGAGTTCTTTAACTTCCACAGAAGGAAAGAGAAGGTATCTGGCATTTATGGAATATTCAGCCAGCTGGGAGCCATGGTGAGGTACACTATAAAATATGATTCCTCTCGTGTTGTTTACAATTTTACCCATTTCTGGATTCTTGGAAGCATCCACCAGCATCTTTTTCACTAGAAGACCTGGCAAGAGAAACTGAATTAATGCACTGATTTAAACCACTGTGAAAATAATGATGGTGCCATATTAGCCACGAAGCAACTAACCATATTCTTGCCTCATTTCATTAATCCTTAGCATGTCGAATACGTCAGATCAAGTTGGAAAAAACAACTGAGGCATTAAAATAAAATGTTAATTGAACAGCATAAATCCAAGTCTATAGACTTTTTAATTTGCTTTTAGTGTTGCTAATGACATCTAACATATGCCAGATGATGGAGAAAACTCTGCCTCTGAATTTCCACTTGCATGAATTTCAATTCATTGATTTTGTGTTTCTGAATCAACACGGTACAAACAAACAGGAAGAAAAATCCATTCAAAATGCGTGTGCTACTGCAAACAACACACCAGGAAAACAGAAATCTATTTTACATTTTCAGATCTTTGCAAGCGTTGTACACAGACCATTCAGAACAACTGCCTTTCAAACTGAATTTGGTTCCAGTCTCATTCTGAAACGTAACAGCAGATAAATCAAAGCATTCTGCCAGACAGGCACTGCGCTCACCGCCCATGCTGTGTGACACCCACACCACGGGTCTCTCTCCAATCCCAGCAGCTCTGAGCTTCTCCAGAAGCTCGTTGCTCCTGTAAGCAATAGATGTCCTGTGATGAATAAACAAACACAAGCACAAAGGAACATGGTAAGCTGAATACCAGACTTAAAGGGAATAAACTTTCAGCAGTGGAGTTTCATGAAAGTGAATTCAGTAAATAAAACATTGATTACTTAATTGTTGTTGCTACACTGAAAACTAAAGACGTCAAGAACGTTTTAAGATCAGCTTCACAAGGACAATAGCAATTGAAATGAGTTCAATTTCTTGGTCTTGCTAGAAATTGCTATTTTAATTTCACTTATCGGTGACTGCCCTTAGTTTTAGTTCTGCAAATCGTATCTTTTAAATGAAACCATTTTCACATGTTTACAAAATTATATTTTCATTTTACCAAAGCACCATCAATGCATAATAAACTTTATGCCCTGAAACAAGAACATATGTAAATACCTGACAAAAATGTACTTTGCTAAACAGTGCTCAAGTTGTAAAGCAAAGTTGTTCAGGAAATGAATAAATGCATTATCATTCAATGTGTTAAAAAAAAATTAAATCACAAATTACATCAGTTATAATTTTTCAAATAATTACTTCCAAATGCTTGGTATTAAAGTAGTATAAAAACATAATGATTTCAATTTCAATTTGAAGAATGAAGAGGTCAAATTCTGGAAAGGATAGGCTACATGTTAAAGGCTACAAATGAATCTGTGGTAGAATCAAACCAAAACTGATCCCAGACTAAGCTTGAAAGAGTGAAATCATTACTCCTTGTGGCACAATAGGAATCACAGAAGACTCTTTGATAACGAAACCTCAGGATATTGGGGCAACCACTGTGCAAAGCCTAATTCACTTCATCTCTGTTGGGTCCAAGCATTGTCACTAGAAACAGCTTTCAGATAATACAGATGAAAAGGATACTCAAACCTGTCTTTTCATCTGAGCAATATGCTTTAAGATTGCTGGGGGGACTTAACTCCCTTCTGAAACACTAGATGAGCCTATACTCTTACAGCAGTGATAAGGATGTGAGCGTCCAGCTACACTTCTGTTGCTGCTAGTTAAAATATCTTCAAATGTCTTTCACTTTTGATTAAGCACAACAAACTATAAAATAATCATACACTACATGCATGGGTGAGCACATATTGCAGGTAATGCAGTTTTCCATTCTGTGATGAAAAATACATTATCTTAAAATAAATGCATATGTATTTATTTATTTTTTGAATTTGCTTTCTTTATACATACTCGAGATGGATGTGGGGAAAAGGGTCTCTAATAGAGGTACCTATCTACACATTCATTACTGTCACTGTTCTGACTAACTTACAGAATAGAACAGAATAGAATAGAGATACTGTCAGTCACATCTTCCTTATCTTGCCCCAATTGCATGCTTTCTTTAGTGCAATAATTGCATCATTTCTTTGTATGTCTACAGGGAAGAAAAATGAGCAAGTGCCAAGCTCTCAATCTTTTATACAAATTTTGTCCCCTACTCAAAACATAATTAATTTTCAGATTCTTAACCTGTCAGCAGTCACGCATGTGCCTTCGTGGAAGTATACAAGTTGAATCTAGTTACATGCCTATGTGTATAATGAATGGGAGGACTTGGATTACAATCAGATTCAAAGAGCACTGAAGTCAATTGCTAAGTCTAAAATCCATTCAAACCAAGTCATCTAAACTGTTTTTATGTTTTAGAAACAACATTTTTGGAGGAGATGTCTTCTTCTGATCTAGCTGGCTCAGGCTCACTAAAGCATTGCTCCTCTGACAAGAGCAGTGGTTTTATTACACTATTTGACCAAAAAACAGTGTGGGCTGGAGACAATTTATTAATTCTTAATTTGTGCCTAAAACCTCTTCACTTGTTAGCTTCATAATGTATTGTGAAAGTCTAAATCTTAAAGAAGTTTCTGTAGCTCATCTACCAAAGACAAATGGCAATCTCTTCGCAGGGAATAATACTTCTGAATAGAACTATAAGCTTTGTTTTCCTGCGAATATCAAGTCACAATACAGCAAGTCTTTTGTTGTATTTACAAAGTACTGTTGGGCCATTTTAAGCTTAATAAATACTCCCCTGAAGAAGCAAAACTAATGTTATATCTAAATCAACAGACCACTTTAGTGCCTGAAGACGCTGAAGACAGTGAAGACACATGAAGCAGTCTATAAGAAATTAAGAATTTGAGTTAACCCATGAGGATACAAAGCTTGGGTAAACCATGACTTTAGCCAAGATTTTTCTAAATTTTATTTTCAAATACAACAAGAAAAGTTAATTTCACTGTTTCATTGTAAGTGATTCAAATAATTAGCTGTATAGGTCATCCTCTTGTTCCCCCCTCCAAACTGCAGACATGCATTTGTTACCTGTGAGGCTCAACAGGACATTTTGCTTTCCAGTCACTCAAACGGGTGTCGTATTCCACAGATATGATTCTAAGGGCAGGACAATCTGAAGCCAGCCATGTCTAAATACAGAAAACCACCAAAAAGAGCTTATTACTGAAGTACTTGGAAAACTCTTACAAACACTTCAGCAACAATGGAGCAAAGCTGTTATTATGAATAGAGTATCAAGTACAATTTTTGTTCTTCACGAATCCTCGAATACATCTTACACCTGCACTGTTATTTTTTTGTTATTACAGACTGTCAAACTCTTGACAACTTCCTAATCAAAATGAAGGCAAAGGCTGGAATGGATTACTGATTTGTGCATTCCTGGCTCCCTCTCCTGGGTGGAACAACAATTACTGACATGGCCAATGGGACTGATGAGTTGAAGTTTTGTAGATATACTTTGGTGTTTACATCAGTGTGAGCTGCTTGAAGCAGTCATTACTTATATACCAATAATTTTTATAAGGCAAACTGGAAAAAGTACTCAGGTACTCAGGTACTCAGACATTCATGTAGGAAATTAAAAATGTGATTTCATGTTTTCACAGTTACCATCTTTTTCTAAGCTGTAGAATTTCCTTTAAAAGAATGAGAGCATAAGGACAGCGTACATTGCTTCCTCTTTCACTACCAGAAGAATGACACTGAGTGCATTAACTTCAGCAGAGATTTTCCTTTGCAAGCATAACCTGTTGAAAATTTCATTTTGCTAACAAAAACCATGTGGAGAACACAAAATATGCTACTCCTAAAACAGATTAGAAGTCATCCAATTCTCTACACAGCTCTCATTAACAAAAAACCAGCAACTGTTCAAGAAAATGGTACTGTCTTTACCTTTGGCCAGCACTGGCTGTATTCCTCCTGCACTTCTGAAGCCTTTTTATCCACAGGTTGGTCAATGTCTTGCTGTCTCCAGGTTTTAAACGCTGCTCCCAGAAGACCATGAACAAAAAGGATGTCTGCTCTGATGGGCTGACTGACATAGAAAGGAATTTGTAGAAGACAGATGACAGATATTCTTTCAGCAAATTAAATTTAGACAGAACTCTTAATCTAGGGGATATCAAAATGCTATTTTGAACACTGTACATGGTTTCTTGTATTTTGGACAACATGCCATGACGTTGCATGATATTTCACACAGGATACTCAGATCAAGATGAAAAACACAGATTGGCCCATAAGAGAGATCTAGACAGAAGTATGTAAAGTACCAAACTCTTGTCTCATATTCTTCCATAATGGAAAACAATATCCTTTCCCCCTACTATTAATGCAGCTTAGTGAGACCTTTACTGTCTGATTCCACCATCTCCACTAACACAAATGGCCCCAAGGGTAGTTGCTGCTAAGTGACATACCATGTCGGAGACTGCTTCACTCCCAGATAAATGTTCTTGGAAAAGAAAAAAAGAAGCCTCAGCTTCTTTCGCTGCAGCTGAGGACAATGGGCTGCTATCAGCAGAATAACTGCTAGGCATCATATCCCAAGACACACCAGTACAAAGGCTGCAAAACCATAATTCATGTAATGGTTTGCATTTTCCAAGCAATACAGGAACACTCTTTTCATTGCTACGGACAGCTCTGAGCACTCCTGCTGTTCTCACATTAGAGGATCTACATTCAGTCCAGTCAATCCATCAAGAACCAGAGGAGCAGGTAACAAAAGTAGAGCTGCACTCTGAATCCATTCTTCTGAATTTTTGTAACTGAAAATTATAGAAAATAACTCAAATTACAGCATGCACAGTTTCTCCTTCTGCATTACCTGCTACGATACTGTGGATGTAAGACATAAACACCATCTGGATACTTTTCTTGCACTGTGTCCCTGTCTAGGTTAGCCAAAGCTCTGGACGCATGAGAAGACTGAATGACATGCGGGGATTTCATTACTTCAGCAAGTACAGAAACCCAACCTACATTGAAAAAATAGAGTCAGAAACATCATCCCAACAAGAAAATTCACAAACATCATCCTTCACAGCAGTAATTGTGAAAATGGGCATTAAAATGTAAGAAAGGCAATATCAAAACAAATTACTTCAACCCACTTCTCTTTACTGCAGGAAAGCCACTGCTGGATAAGTGGAAATGGCAAAATTAAAAAAAATTCAGAGTGGTGAGGATGAAATGTATTTTACTGCTATTTAGATTATAATGTGAAGCAGAACCCCTTCCCAGAAGTAAAACAAAGTGTATCAGCAAGTCAGAGCAGCAGTCGGACAGAGAACACATCTTGATTCTCTTTCTGCAGCCAATACGCAAAAAATACAGTGATAAGGAATGTTCCAGAGAGAAAATGAAAATCAAAGCACAGGAAAGAAAGGGAACAGCACACAGGAATAATGGCAGGCAGAAAAATTGGTGATTGCTCTGAAGAACAACTTCTAATTTTAAATTCCAGAGTGCAAAAACATTTATGTAATTAAAAAATTCTCCCGCTATTCTAGAACAAAACAAAAACCAAACAATTCTGTTTACACCTGAGAAACATAAAAGAATAGCTGACAGAACACATTCCTCAACTTAAGTCATAGCTACCTCAAGAAAAAATAAACACTTTACAGACTCTTACCTAAAAATGAAACTTACTGTTTCTTAGACATGGATGAGGCTGCTCACAGAGTACTGAGACATACAAAGGAATGAATACATACATACACACATACATACATACATACATACACATACACACACACACACAACGAACATTTAAATACTTTTAGAGAAAACTGAGTCAGAATGATTGTAAGGATCCGTGATGAATGAGGAAAAATCTTTAAAATCTAAGCAGATAAGAAACAACTGAATATTCAGAGCATACATACATACAAGAACAAATGGGAAAAGTGTGAAAATTTGACAAAAAAAATTTATGAGGAAAAATTTCTCAAATTAAACTTGCTGGCAGAGCGGACTGAAGTGCTGTTAAAGATCTGGTGGAAAACTTCCTCAGCAAGAGCTAGCTGGGTAAGGGTTGGCCTGCAGACTGGAGCAGCTGTGAGGATCTGATGCATAAGCAGCATGAACAGCAGGATGCGAGGGCACCCACAGGCACCAGAAGCTGTGTGAGTTCATCTCTGCCTCCTGCCACTGTTATTTGTTCTTAGTTACTAGCTTGACACAAAGCAAGGGAGAGTGGGAAGGCATGTTTTATTTTATTCCAAAACATAAAGACACAAAGTTCCTTCATGAGACTGAAACACAGTAAATTGGAAAAAAAAAAGATCAATAATGCAGATGGTCTGTGAGAGTAGGAAATTCAGAAGATTTCTGTCAGTAATTTGAACTAAATATCAGAAGTCCCAATTTTCACCATCCTTCAAAGACTTTCAGTGCCTCTAGCTCTGACACACATCAGCTAGACAACGCATGTAAGTTTTTAAACCAAAGCTGTCTAAACTATTTATGTTTTATTTAACAACAACAACAAAAAGGCACAAACTAACAAAAAAGAACAAGAAAAAAAAACATATACATGCATACAAAACATACATATAAAAACCACAGCACTACCACAGTCCCTTACATTTTACAATAGCACTGAATCTAGTGAAAAATTTAGAATATAGAACTGGCAGTCTGGCATTCAGGCTGCTTGCACTTGCTTTCCTTTTACCTGCACGTACTATGGATGAATGAAGACGTTCATCCAAAGCCATATTTCCAATAATGCGGATTATGTTTCTCTGTATTTTTGCAGAATCCTTACGGAGCTGGTATATCCTCTGCAGCAGCTGAAGGCCGCCCTGAGCTTCAATTTTATCACAGTGAGATGAAACCTAGCATCATACAGTACAATGACAATAAGTAGATGTTCTGCAAAAGCTTCTTGGTGATGCTGTTAATACAGAAAGTAGTTTCATGAGCTGATATGATATGGCCCTTATTACATAAGAGTTCTTATTCATTTACTATTTATTATTCTCTATTCCAAGATGAAGGAAATATTTTAATGTGCTGAGTGCATGATATCTATGAATTGACAACCTGAAAGATGCTGAGAATCATCACTATACTCTCCTTCACATCAGAGGAAAATGACATTGATATCCATTTGGCATGACCAACTTACAAGTGATGTTCAAGAGTCTAAACAGGACAGCTGCCTGCACTTGTTAAAGCACTGCCCATTGAAGCCTCTTATTGCCTACCAACTAAAGTGAAATTGCTAGCATACCTCCTCTTTGAAATATACAGACATTTTTACTCTTCTAATAACATCACTATTTTTACTGATCTAAAGGGCAACAATAGATTCTAGTTCAAGAAGATGAACACAGACAGATCAGTAGTAGTGTCAACACCAATAGTGACCAAATGCTTGTGACTTGAACGTGTTTACAGTGCTTAAAAATGTACTGTGGTCATGAAATTGCTATGTTCTCAGGTATGAAGCTTTTAGCAAAGACAGAGGCATTCTGTGTAAGTACAGTCACAACTTGATTGAATGGAAAATCTAGAATGTAGAAAATCCTTACTACGTGAGAATTTCTATGCATATGGAAGTTGTGAAAGGAATACTAGCAAACTACACTTTATCCATCCCTACTACAAATAACAATTTAGTATTCTCAATACTATCTTTCAATGTTCAGGACTTCTGAGAAAGAACTTTCACAGGCTAATTAGTAATAATAACAGAACTTAGAGGCTGTATGGTAACTGTTGAGATACAGCCTGAACCACTGATTGAGCACCTGGGGAAAGGACCCACTCAGCCCTGAGAGCACAGATGAAGGCAATTCAGCTGTGTGAAGGGGTGGAGCCTGGCTGCACCCTCTTAGACCTCATTTAAGGGCTGACTGCCAGTGTGGATGGATTTCTGGTTACAAATCCCTCCTTTTTAGAGCCCAGATCTTCAGAGACAGGTGAGCACTTTTTCTTTTCCTTTGTAACACCTTTCCACTGTGCTAGTCCCTTTGTCGTTACACTTCTTGTACCACAATTCCACCTGTTTAGCTTTCTGATTGTTACAGAGGCACTTGATATCAGAAAAATGAGTTTGGTATGCTTCCTTATGATTCACATCAGTCTCAGCTCTCTGAAAGCTCTTGCAAAAGGGATAGCAGCTAGGAGACAAGAAAATGGCAACTCAGTCCCAATGTATGACAGCCTTAGAAAAGAGTGTTTATAAATGTTGTTTTTCAGTTGTAGTTTAAAACAGACAGTTACCTTAGAATGTTGCACTAAAGCTTGCAAGCAAAAGAGTTCTACTGTCTCTGAAGGAACTTTACCCAAAGTCTCACAGTATGGAAGTCCGTTTCCCCCAAAACACCATAAGCCTCCCTGAAAGGAGAAATAGTAAAAATGATACCACGTTCCAAACAGCCACATAAAATAAGCATTTCTAAACTAGAATGCTATGTGTGTAATGATCTATAGAGATCTCTTTAAAGAGTGCTCAGCATGTATTAATTTAAGTGTATAAATTATATAACAGCACGCTATAAAATGGCCTACTATTTTTTATTAAACAAATTTTCAGACAGAAACTTCCATAGTCTATTAACTTCAAAACACACAATAAAGGGGAAAAATGCAGGGTTCTTATGTTAATTAATGTAATCTCTTAAAATTGTTTCCTTGAGGATAAGGAAGCAAGAATCAGCCTTAATCTAGACTTCCAGAGTTGGGAGGGAAGAAAAAAAAAAAAAGAAATGGGGAGAAGAGAAAATAAGGTATTTGACACTTAGCATAGTGCCAAGAGGTCAGTCTGTCTCTATCATACAGCAGGAAGACCAGCAAAACTTTAAGAAGGAATAATTTTCTAGGACAGTGCAATTAGTCAAAATGTTTCCAAGAGTGGTCTTACAAGTGCTCTTTCTGTAGCAAGACCTCTTGTTTGTGAACAATGGAATCCCCATGTGAAAACATTACACTTCTTTGTGTCTTAGGGAATAAAAAGTTACTGAACTCTGAAATCTCTAAATAAACCCTGCTAAGCAACATTATGACAGTACTTTTTTTTTATTATAACTTTCAAAAGTAAGAGTCACTGATTACAAAAATCAATTGACTTAGGTTTTGGCAACAGTGACATGTTACAGGAATGCATTTCCATGTAATGAACAGTTCATGACCATAGGCAGCAATTAGTTTGATAGTAACATGTCAAGAAGGTTTAGTAATCTCAGCAGATGAAATGTGAAAAATCTCTTTATGAAGACTGTGAGAGAAAAGATATGTCTTTACTTACGAGCCTTCCCACAAAGCAGGTATCTCTTGCTAAACCAACTAGTACAGTTAAGAAAGATAAAGAAGCTTTCAAGCATGTGGTCTGTATGTAGAAGAGCTTATACTAAGTTGCAATGTAACGAAGACTGCATTTTTTTCACTTATAAAGCTGAAAAATATAGAAATAGGTTTGTATCTTTGAGTGAGCCTCTGAATAAAGAAACCAAATAGTTCCAGTCTGTAAGTGGGAACTCACCCTCTGTGCAGCAAGAGTCTGACTACTTTCACGTAAAGCAAGAGATGTGAAGTACTGGACACATGGATCAAGGCCAGACTGAGGTAAAGAAACTAAGAGCAAGCGAAGCTCATCTTCTATGAGATAATCCTGTGAGAAGTAAACACAGTTTTTAATTCTACTTTTTTAAATTCTGAAACAAAACACAATATGGAAGAAAATAAAGATCTTAAATAATTGAAGAAGCTACATTAGTAAAGCCAAAACTTCAGTGCTCTGCAATTTGGGTTTACTAGTTACTCTTGTAAAAACTCTGGGAGTGATTAATACTAAAACCAGCCACCTGAGTGATGAAAAGTAAGCTTTAAGCTTCATGCTTTAGTGGCCTTTTCATAATATTTCCATATACACACTGTGACTTGTACAAATTACATTGTGTAATTTGGACATACAGTCAAAGAACAATAATCAAACTCCTATCTTCAGCTCTTTGCATCACATAATTCACTAGTACAGACACTCCAGAGGTACATTACAGTTGATGTTTTGGTTTTCATTTTAGTACTCACTCTTTACTTTTGAAGAATTCTATTTTAGTATGGTCACTAACAATGGAAGTAGTAAACACAAGTAAGCAAAAATCAGCTGGTATCTTCTTTCCATTTACTTACATTTTTCATTTTTGGCAGTGATGGTGGAGGCAGGAAAAAGCGAAGGTCGATATCTTTGGATCGAGCCAAACCTATAGCAGTCCTTTGATCGCAGGTTTGGGCAACAGTACCATACTGATAATCTGCAGTACAAGGACTCCAGCATTAAGGTTAAAACTGATAGTAAATATTTCATTTGGCTTTAAATTTCTGATTTCTTTTTTGAGTTGAAAAGAATAACTTTGCTTTCTGCAGTCTCCTTAATAAGCCTTGACTCTGTAGTCATAAATTCCAAAAGGTAAAAATAGCAGTTGTTAGACCCAGCACTGTGCTGAAACAAAATAGACCTGTGCACTAATTGTTGATAACAAATCAGTTAAATAAAGATTCTTATGTGAATTGAACAAATGCAAAAGCAAAAGTTGAGTATTGCTACTGTGAAAAGAATGCAAGAACTATAAATTCAAGCCTAAACCTTATTTTTTTTCCTTCGTACAATATTAACCCAAGTTCTAAACAGAAATGCTGCCAAGATGTGGGCATGAACTTTAAATGATACAAAAAGCTTTGCTTCTACAAAGTTTTTAAAGTTTAAAAAAAAAAAAAAAGTAACCTTAGACCATGCAAGACAACATCACTGTACAAGTAGCCTTTCCTTACTGAAGCACTTGCTGTCTTTGCAATAAAGACTTTAAGACACCCTACTGAAGGGAAAACAGATTTAAATAATACTTAATTTTCAAAACCTATCTATTTTACAGCTGGGGAAATTGAAAGGCACATACTGAAATTAGTGTCAAACTGAAGGAAAAGACAATATTGAAGTGGATCAACAACTCGCTATAAAAGTGTTTTTATCCTCATTACTGTTATACATCTCTTGAACAAAAATGACAGGCTACTTAAAAGAGGCTTCACAATCACAGACCAGGCATCATTTTTCCTTGGTGCAGATCACTTGCAGCCACAAACTGATGTCACTGAAGCTGTGCTTTGGATGAGCAGGACACAGTATTTATGATAATGCATGCTGAACAATTTGGTTCTAGCTGTGAAAAGGTAGCACATTCCCAGTCCAGATCTTTGCTGGAATGAGTTTTGCAATATCAGAGTAAAATAAACCCACTTTCTTTATGAGGTAGTTGGCAAGAATTATTACTGCCTGTAAAACATCCAAATACTGCAGCAAATAGTATTATAGAGAAAAGGATGTAACAAAGAGCAACTCAATTCCCACATACTGGCCATCTTATGCACTGAATGATACAGGAGGTCTGCAGGGAAAGAAGCCTCAGAAAATCTGCTGGCAGTCTTCCCATGTGAAAGTAAGATGGCCATTACTGAACTGTTACACACAGCTTCAGTGTAGGTACATCTGCCTTTCAAATGTTTTCAAATATGACTTTTTATGTAAACAATTTGAGATAATTAGAGTTTGAAAGAGGCAGTCTGAAGCAATACACATTCCACTGTGTGGAATTGCACAAAATGTCAACTGACTCTACTACCAGGATAATAAGAGTGGATTAGAGTGCTACCTAGTTTACACAGACTAGTGATGGAGTGGAGAAAAGGGTGTATATGTATACCCTTGGGAGTTCAAGGACACTTGCTGCTTTAAGAAGAGAGAGGACTCAAGAACCTTAAGTTCTATACCATGCTTTATAATATGATTTACAAGATACTGAAGTAGGTAACTGTAGTGGAAATGCATGTCTTGTCTGAAGCAGTGATTGAGCACCTGGTGGGACGGCAGGGCCAACCCAGGGGAGCTCAGGTGCATGCAATGCCCTGAGTGACTGGAAGGGGTGAAGTCATGATCCAGCCCTTCCCAGATCTCATTGAAGAGTTGGCAGTGGAGGTGAGGGCATCTCTTGCTGGAGATCTCTGCCTACTTGAGGCCTTCCAAAGGTAAGCAGCTCTTTTCCTTCATTTCTGCAGCTGCTGCACTTAGGCTTATTCTCATTTGCTGCAGTCAAAGACTTTGCCACTCTGCTATTATCACAGTACTTTCCATCCCATTATGGCATTATAATAACAAAGGGAGAAAAGAACATAAAAGAGAAGCAGACTTCCCTATTTACAGATAAGTGTATGACATGTAATGTACTAATAATGTAACTGATGATACCATAGCATTAAATCAAACTAGTTTTTTTTCTGTGGGATAAATCTGTGAAAAGTTAAAAATCGTTAGGATGTTTCAGTATTAAGGTAACAGTAACAATTAGGACAGAAAATGGCTTATAAATAATGTTTGTGTGTGCAAGTCCTCTAATTCTAGTTTGTCACCACTGCCTTGTTGTGGTTACCTATCATTTCCTAACCAATCTTTAAATGAACCATAGCCTTAAACCCCTTTCCAGCAGAGCCTTACAACAATCAGTACCAGAAGCAGTACTATTCTTAACAGCTTTAAAAGGCCAAGGAACCAATGAACCAGAACTGCTCTCCAGCAGTTAGACAGCATCATACTAAATGGTGGTCCTGATAATCTAGTAGGGAAGCAGAGAGAGGCCCACACTGCAGTTGTGCTTTGTATGAGTGTATGGTAACTGTTGAGTCATGGCCTGAACCACTGGTTGAGCACCTGGGGAAAGGACCTGGTCAGCCCTAAGAGCACAGATGAAGGCCTACAGGTTCATTTAAGGGTTGACTGCCACTGTGGAAGGATCTGTTTCTGGAGATTCCTCCTTTGTGGAGTTTTCTGTGAGCCTAATCTTTGGAGATGGGTAAGCAGCACCTTTCTTCTTCTTGTGTAACACCATTCCATTCACGCTAATTCCTTTGCTATTATTATTGCCTGTATTGCCCCTCCAGTGTGTTGATCTTTCTGATCATCACAACGAGGAAGAGTATTAGGAACAAAAAATTGCTTGCAATGTAAAAAATAAAAAAAAGTAAAAAAAACCTGATTCTGGTCCAAATTACACTTCTTTCAGCTACTAGCAATTTTTCCAGGGCAGCAGCAGATAATAGAGACATGGTTGCATTTTTGTAGATGAATTGAACTATACCAGCATACATTACCATGCCAGTGAGTGTTCTTTGCCAGCTCTTGCACAGCCTGCAGTCGGACCTCTTTGTCTTCTGACTGAGTCCTTTTTAAGAGGAGCCATAAAGCACATTCATGATCTTCTCCATCAAATGTACTAAAGTGCTCTTTAGCAGCAAACAAATGAAACCCAAGTTATTCCTAATGAGCATTTTAACAGGCAAGCTTCCATTTCACTGAATTAAAAAGAAATGATCTGTTCCTTTTAGTACTTCAGTATTAGTTGTTAAAGTATTTCTCTGAATTACTATTAACAACTAATTGGGGCAGTAAAATAGGACAGAATGACACCCACAACCTCCCTGGGCAGCCTGGGCCCATGCCTCACAGAATCATGGAATCATAGGGATTGGAAGAGATCTCGGTTTATCAACTGGTCCAATTCCCTGCTAAAGCAGGTTCCCATTATGTATTACACAGGAAAGCATTCAGGCAGGTGTTGAGTATCTCCACAGAAGGACTCTGCAACCTCTCGGGGCATCCTGCTCTGTGAGACCCAAGTCAAGAAGTTCTTTTTCATGTTCATATGGAACTTCTGTGTTCCAGTTCATGCCCTTTGCCCCTTGTCCCGTTGCTAAGCACCACCAAAAAGAGCTTGGACTCATTTAATTGACACTCACCACCCTCAAAGTAAAGAATTTGTTAATATCTAATCTGAATCTATTCTCTTTCAGTTTGAAACTGTTACCCCTTGTTCTATTAATATAGCTTTTGAAAAAAAAAAAAATTCCTTTGATACAAAAAAAACTTTGGTATCAAATATTAACTCAGTACTGTAAGCTTCACTTCCCATCTGAAATGGGGAAAAAATAAATCTTCATTTATTCTTCAAATCTCTTCTTAAACATTACTTTTACTTACTTAAATACAGTTTTAATACACAGAAAGTTTTAATTCAGAAACTTAGATTAAATGCTATTAAATAACATGTTCTGTTGTGTTTGAAACAGAGGAAATACTAAGTTCTTAAAAATAATTATTTTACTTTCTAAAAGTGCTTAGGTTTTACGATAGAGTACTATGCATAGGTACTACACATGCTTTTCACACCTACCATTAAAAGGTCTCCAGAAAATTTTAGCTTCTGTCTCGAGAATTTTCCTTACTGCTCTATGGATTTCTTTTCTGGCTTGGTATGTAATCCCTAAAAGAGCATTTTTAGGTTACTTAAGTTTGAAAGACTGATATGGCACGATATTTCAAGATTTCAAGATGCTGGCTAGTTGTTGGTTGTTTTTTTTTTTTTTTTTTTTTTAAGATATTCATATTTATACTTTATAAGGTAACTATATATACATATGGGTATATATCTCTTAAAAATAAATCAGGTGATGTGAATATTATTTTTGTAACATATCCCAAAATGTATATTTCTGGATATACAAGTAAATTCCAGAAATATTGTATGCTGTCAACATTTTATTTTTGGATTCCAAACAATGACATCTTACCTTGATATTCATTTGGATTTCGAGAAGATGTACGTACATACACATGGGATTTAAGCTTTTCTTGATGTATAGCTTGAGTATCAATTTGCAGCAACTTCTTTAAGGACAAAACTTCATATGTAATGAATACAAAACCTCTTTAAATGAAAGAAAGCTGTGTATGAATACTACTGAAAAAGAGGAAGATTACAGCAAAAATATCTTAACAATCATTTTGGTATAAATCATCCTTTATTCATTAATTACAAATACCAGATTTTTACCAAACATATATAGAAGTCCATAGATTATATCAATTTAGCACAGAAAAGAAACTCTCAAATAACTAAGAGTAAATCTACCAGAAGATATGATTCCAAATTACAGCCCACCATACCTAAACCCCTCAAATATTGTCATTTTTTGAAAGTAATGTGAACTGAAGTTTTTACTGTATCCATAATTTACATATAAGCTTGCTAGTTAGAACTTACCCTAGTATAAGTGATCCAGTTACTTTTGCAATTTTTCCTTGAAAAATGAAAAAAGGACGTCAAAGAAAGTTGTGTGCATCAAGTCAATATAAACACATAACATGTGATAACCAGACAGTAAGAACTTCAGTAACTAAGGTTTTTTTCTATTTTTGTCTAGCTTTTGGAAAATCACTACTTAAAATTAAATAAGGTCTTGCTGGATTAGAATTTCCTGCTCTCTTAATCTAGGCAATGAAAGGTTTCCTACAGCTGCTATTTACTGTGAGTATTGCTACCTGTCAATTGCATTCATTGCCCAGCTGCAAGAATCAACAGGAAAAACTCTGTCTCTCACTAGCATTTGTTTGAACCTCCACATTATGCTAAGGAGTTAGCTTTTTCTTCTTGACTGGATATTCAGTGTATGTGAAAATCCCTGCAGAATCTCTCTAAGCAAAGATATTTTTCAAATAATTCCACTGAATCCAATCTTACAGAGCAAAGAGTTGAATTAACACCACTTGCAGCAGCTTCTCTTTTAAATACAAGGATTCCTGTCCGATTTGAATTATTTGTCCTGAGTGAAGGTTGGCTGATTATCTGGACTTCGGGTTGTGAGTAAAGTGCAACGCTACTGCTACGATAGCGGCAAGCCCAATGGAATGTATCTCACCTATCATGAATAATTGATTTTCCTCAGCATGAACCAGGAGGCTTGCCCTAGGCCCACTGCCACAGCTTCTGCCTTTGCAAGACTTTAAGAATTGTGGCATGCAGACAAGAAGCAGTTACAAGCTGAAGAAATAACTGGCAAAGAGACAAACTGCAGTGATTCTGTGGAGCAGAAATAGAAATATCTTGTCTTTTAATCCAGGAAAGTACACCTTAGAACTGTAAGAATTTTCATTTTATACAAGATATTAAAGAAAGCAGAGAAGATTGTAGAACTTAAAAAAAAAAAAAAAAAAAAAAAAAAAAAAAAAGTAAAGGAGAAAGAAACAAAGTTTATTCAAGTGCTGCCCTGTTACTAACAGTTTATGGATGTGATGTTTTCATTGTGCTAATCATTAGGAAATGACCAAAGAAAAAAAAAACAGATAAAAATGAGCTTAAAATAATTTAATGAGATTTGTATTTTGGTGGGACTCCCATCATCAGCATTATCTAGAGTTATCATCATTACAATGCAAAGCAAGTCAGAAGCAGACATCCACTTTAGGAAAACAAAACTTTTGATCAGAAACTTTGCAGAGGTGTAGATCTCGTCATTTAAGCATGCACAGTGTTACATCCACACAGACTCTTTCCTCTTTTAATAACACCTCTGATTGATACTTATAGAACTGTACTTACTTATATCATTCCACGATGGCTGTTTTTTGGTGGCTGGACCAGAAGTTCCTATTTGTCTACAGCAAAATATGCAGTAAGCAGCCACTGACATTCTCTACATTCAGAAAAAGAAAAAAAAAAAAAAAAAAAAGGATTTGGGAATTATAGTAGAAAACCTGTAATCATTTTTCCCCATCTTTTTACATTCTGTGCCACATAATTTACATTCTGTGCCACATAAAACACTAAGTAAAAAAAAAAAGTTATAAACTCTCAAATTTAGTAGTTTGCATTTTGATTACAATAAAAGCTTACAGAAGTGTTTCGTGCAATTACATATTTATGTTAATACTAGTAAGTATGTATCTCTGGCTACCTGCTCTGCTTTGGAGCCTTTTCTGATTTCCTCACTTAAATACGTCACATTCACGTGAAGACAGTGCTCAGTACAACATATGACTTAATACAAGTTAGTAATCAACTGTTCATAATTCATTTCACCTTAACACTTAAGTCTTTTACACTGACTTAGCAGGCTCTAACAACTCATACAGATTGTTGGTGCTAGAAGGCAAATTGGATAACGTCTTTTCTTACTGATTTACACTGTAACACCACAGTTAATAAGGGATGTATTTTAGCATCTACACAATGAGATTTGATGAATGTATAGTTGTACGGGTGAAGTGTTAAGAAATGAGGCAATTTAGGACTTGTGAAAGAGCCAATTACTGTATGTACCACTCACGTCTATACATACTAGCACCTTTTTATATGTTAGCAACTATTACTACCTATACATTTTACCTATACAAGAAAAGCCTACCTGAGGTTAGGATAGTGACCTAATTGGCTTTGGCTACCTACAGCACCAATCAAACTCTGCATTCTTTCTGCTGAAGGCTTCATCCAAACATTCAGACATATTTTCAGTGCAAGAATTACACTGGCTGGGTATTCTGCATTAGTAACTTGAAATTAAAACGTCATGATGTGACGTGAGCACTTGAATTACAATGCGCTGATAGAAATGTGAAGCCAGTCTGTTCAAACAGATGTAAATCACCCCCGTACTTATTTTGAAAATACAGATATTGAACATCTGCCTTGCCACAGTGACGATTAGTCAAAAAGATGAAGTGCAACACGTGTGAACGGCCATCAGGCCCTCCGATCTGGAAGCAGGGATGACTCCACATCACCCCAGCATTACCACAGCTTTCAGCCTTATCTCCTTTCAGCGCCGCGGTTATCCACTGACTTCATTTATTACATTTCTGATAAGCACGGACTCCCCGCGGGCTCCTCCCCGCAACCGGAGCGCTGTCAGCGGCCGGCCCCAACCCAGGAGGGCCTTCAAGGCTGAGGTTTGACGAACAGCGGCACTGGACCGCGAAAAGACCCAGCCCAAGCCCCTCCGGCCGCCCCGCCGCCTCCCCTCGCTCGCCCCGCCGCTGCCGCTACCTTCCGCTTCCTATCTTTCCCCGCAGCCGGCACCGCCGTTCACGAGCTCCCATGACGTCATCACGCCGCGCGCCGCTCGGCCAATCCGAACGCAGCGTCAGGAGGGCAATAGGAGGAGCGAGGGCCGCGCTTACGTAGTACGCGTGTGTGGGCTGGGTGAGTGAGCGTGTGCTGCGCGGCTGCGGCTGACGGAGCGGTAGGGCTTGCCGGGCCGGAGTTGCCCGTTCGCCGCCCTCGGCTTAGCCTGTGGACGGGTCGGAGCCTGTCTGCCTTCGCCCCGGCCGCCTTTCGCAAGGCCACGGTTCGCATGCGGCAACGAGAGGATTGGGACGGGGGGGGGGGGGGGGGGGGGGCGGGGGCCGGGGCAAAGCGGTTCTGGATGCGGGCGGGGCGACGGGGGAGGTTTGGGGCGGGCGGTGCCTGCGTGTGACTGCCTGTATGAAGAGGTAGGAGCGGGCTCAGGCGCAGGGTAACGGTGTTTTGCTTTCTGCTCGCTTTTTTTTTTATTTTCCCCTCCTGGGTCGCCGAGTTCAGCAGAGGCGTTTCTTTGTCTTACAGGCTTCATCTGCTTTTATCTGTAACCCCAACCAGGAGTTTTTCCTGCCACTCGCACCTTTCAGCGTTTGTGAGAGCTGCAAGGATGGTGAATGTTCTGAAGGGCGTTCTCATTGAATGGTTAGTGACAGCATCAGCATCTGCTCAACTGGTTTTTTAGAACTGGAAATATTTTAGGTGCTTTAAGAGGCTAGGCCGAAAAATGAATTTGTATGTAAGGGATACTGAACAGACAAATGAAAGATGAGGTCTTTAGGGGAAGAAGGAGAGAGGCAATTGTAAGAAATCTTAATTCCAAACTCAGTTTTTCAAATATGTTGTTGTTTTCTACTTAGACTTAATGTCATGTGTACCTCTTGTTTGCTGTACTGCAAATAATGTTGAATAGTTTTGTTCCTGGGTGATGTGTTTTCTGTACTGATTCTAAAGGGAAACTTGTCTGTTTTTCATCCTTTGTTTTCTTTTTTCATTGATTCCTGTTCATGTTGTACTCAAGGCTGTCTGCTCTAAAACGAGTGTGCTTATAATTTCAGAAAGTAAGCTGTTCATATCTGTGCAGTCAGTTTGTTTATATGCAGTCTGAAATCCCTAGACTAAGGTTCTGATAACAATTACCTCCAAATTAAAGGAGCTGTCAGTTAAGGTTTGCGGAATCATTATATATCATTATATTACAAGCAAGATTTCTGCTGTGTGCTTAAACTGTAAGCATCCTAACAGACTATAAGTGCACAAGTGCAGAACGTCCTGCATGGTGCATACAGCTGTGTGTCTACTGTGGTTCACTTCTAAGCTGACTGGACATTAGCCAGCTCACATCTGAATGCCTCAGTTGGGTATGAGCATCTTGGAGTATGAATTCCACTATCACAAAAAGCTTATTGGCTCTAATTTGGCTGCATGTTATTATGGTGACAAACCTGACCACAAGAAACAACCTTCCTGTACTTTCTAAAGACACCAAAGCAGAATTGTGGACTGGCAAAACAATAGATTCTAATATCTCAAGCAGTTAGTACAGTGTTGTATTTTTTCCTCTTTCTTTTATATATTCTGAAAGATGTGTGTGTTCTTGTACAACATTGTGATCACTTCCCATTTAATATTAGAATGAAACTTAATTATCCTCTCTGGAAGGGAATCTTTTATCTGATGAGAAATCTATAGCGTCTGTTATGCCATCAGAGTTTAAACAGCCCCCTGGGAAACTCACCTTTGTATTGGCTTTGCTAGCTGCTGGTTGCTTTCTTGTTTCCTTCTTGGCTTTGCATAAGGCTAGCTGATGATTCCATCCTGGGAGAAGATGCAGAGTTATTACAAGCCTCTCCCCGTGTTTACTTTTCAGATACAAATTTTTTACAACTCATTTTTCCAGGATGTGTTTGGTAATCAGTTGTCAAGAAGTTGGGGAAAAAATAAACACTTCTGAATATGTTAAAGTAAAACATTAAAATAAAACAACAAAATGCTGATAATAATAACCTGCATATTATTCGTTCCCCCTGCGTTATTCCAGTATATTCTTAAACTGTTCTTAGGACAAAATCGCAATGATTATAATCTTCAAATGCTGAACAAGATCAGTGTTTCTGCTGAAACACACGTATCATGGCACTGATTACGGTCCTTTATGTTGATTATGTGAAAATGAGTATATTGCCTAACATGCAGGCTGGGCATCCCAGCTTATGCTTCTGGTAATCATAGTGTATTGGTAAGGTACGTGAGGAAGAAACAAGCAAAAACAAACCTCTGTGCAGCCATCAAAAAGAATGTGTAGGAGTAGGCTGAGGACCACACACTTTGGTATCTTTTTCATAACTTCTTTGTGTAACAATTGTTTTTCTTCTAACATTCTAGAGCACCTAAGTAATAGCTTCTCTGAAAAAGATGGAGATTAGACTTTCCTACTCTCCTTGCCTCAAAATTATTATGTTCTATGTAGAGTAATTTTGTTTTAATATGTTTGAGGCTAATCTTGTTTTTTTAGTTGCTAGTGCCTGAACATGCAGAGAGATTTGGTTCTCTAATGCATGCCTTTGCATCACATGCATGTTTTAGGTAAGGGAGTATAAAATAATTGTCTAAGGAATTCTTTTAAGATAATGTTGCTGTTTACTACTTTGTCAAAACAACCATGTTCGTGATTTTGAATTATTCTGCACTACCTGATGCAATTTATTTCCTGCACATGTCCATTTACCAGTTATTGCACCCAAGCATCAATTCTTATCAAAAGCATGATTTTCCTGTTTTTTATTAGAAAAAATAAGAATGAGGACCCACAACTGTCAATAAATATTAGGACTGAATTACTCAAAACTTCAGTGGATCCAAAAGTTTATTCCCTGTCTAGTTGATCAGTATAACGCAGACGTTCATGTAATTTTCAAGCTTCTGAAGTGTTCTCTGCTGAACGCTTGTATCTAACTTGCAAGGTGATAACATGAAAAAGAAGGGACAGTTCAATTACAGCGTGATAAATGTATAATTCATGTATGACTTCTTCCTTTCTCTGCTGTTCTACTTTGAGATCTTTGCTGTGTATTGGGTTTTGGTTCCCCTCAAAAACATGTTTCAAGATAGCGTGTTTCTTTGGCACTGTTTTTGAAAACAGCAAGGTTAAACTCACCTTGTTAAGGTGAGGTTGTTGGGTTTGGTTTTGTTTGTTGTGTCTTGTTTTTTTTTTGGGTTTTTTTTTTTTTTTGTTTTTTTTTTTTGTTTTTTTTTTAAGGTACTTTTGTAATAGCAATATAGTGGCATTTCTCTGCCAGTTTAGCAGCCAGTTCTTTTTAGACTTGGTCATCAGTTCATTTTTATTTCTACAACAACCAAGACGTTTTTTGTTGCCAGAGAAACAACTTTTTCAAGAGCATCTTAATCTTTTGATTGTGAGCAGCTCTTGAAGTTAGTACAGTTTTTGAAAGAGCTTTCAGAATATCTTAAAAGGATGTTCTTAATTTTTAGCTGTATCTTATTACAATGAGGTGGAATCTGATGTATATTTGTCTCTACAGTGACCCAGCAATGAAGCAGTTTCTGCTCTACTTGGATGAATCAAATGCTTTGGGAAAGAAGTTCATCATACAAGACCTGGATGAAACTCATGTCTTTGTATTAGCAGAGTTGGTTAACTTCCTCCAGGAGAGAGTGGGCGAGTTAATGGACCAGAACTCTTTTCCTATTACTCAGAAATAAAAAAAAAAAAAAAAAAAAAATAAAAAAAAAAAAAGAAATGAGATTGCTGCCAATTTTTACAAAGCAAATTTCAGTAGTTTGGGTTGTTACTGTTTTAATAGACCATGTTTACTAAGTTCTGTGGTGAGGTGATTATTCTGGAAAATGGGTAATTTTCGTAGACAAAATACTCTTGAACTGAATTTTGTTTCTCACTTTGAAAGATTATGGTTTCTTTATTAAAATAAATTATAAGATGATACACTTAAGGGTGTGCAGATGGGTATTTTTGATGCATGATTTCTGGTTTTCCTTTAGAGTTATCTTGTGAAATGGTATGACCCAAAAATGAGTGATGTTTCTGTATTGGAATGCTTTATGAACCTTCCTGACGTGTTATATTCATGTGGAATTGATTAAATTTGCTTATAGTGTGACAGAGAATGTAAAGAAAGTATGTGCTTGGTGGAGCCTCCCCATACATTGTAGGCATGGTCAGAGGAAATCAAATTCTTCTCTAACTTAATGAGTTTTAGATACCAAAATAATAGTGTTTTTTTTTTTTTTGTCACACACTTTACATGTACTCTTAATAACGACCTGCTTTTACCAATGTTATCATTTCTGTGTTGTTCTGAGTTTGGGGAGTGGTGGTGAGGATTTAAGGTTTTGACAGAGGGTGAATGCAAAATCTGTAATCCTGCATCATAACATTGAGCTTGCGTATCAACAATAGCAAATAGAAGGGGCAGTACAAATTTGAGACCAATCCTTCAGATATAACTACTTGTGTTTTGTTGTTTGTTTGTTTTTTTTACTGAAGCTAATACAAGAACCTGTGTGAATAGGAAGGGGAAAATAAAGAGTTGATTGCTCTATTTAATAAGAAGAAATTTGATTTTTGTGTTTTGTTTTAGTTCTTTGTCCTCCACTGCCCCTCTGATAAAATCTGCAAAGATGAGTCCTCATTTCTTTACACTGAAAGTGTAAAAAAAAATCTGCATGTGTAACTCACTAACTTAGACTCTGGCTTATTCAATAAGGAGCCTGTGCACGATGATAAAACCTGCAAAGATTTTGATAGCAAATATGGCAAGATATAGATAACAAGAAAAAGAAAGAATGTGCTACACCTTTCTTTCTTATCCTGCTTCTTGCTTAAAATAGACAAATTTATTGGTTTTAGTAAAGAAAGACTTCTTAATTACCAGTTCGAAGGGAAGCTTGGTTTTCAGAGCTATGCTCTACAACTACCTGAAGGAAGGCAAGGTGTCAGTCTCAAGTGACAAGAGATAGGATGTGAGGTGATGGCTACAAGTTGTGCTATGGGAGGCTTAGGTTGGATATCCAAAAGAATTTCTTCAAGAAGAGGGCGGTTAGGAGCTGGAACTATCTGTCTAGGGAATAGAGAGTCCCTGGAAGTATTTAAAAGATGAGGACATTTAGTGGTGTACTAGGTAGTGCTAGATTGATGTTTTGACTTAAGGGTCTTTTCTAACCTGTATGATTATTCTGTGATCTAGCCGACCAGAGGAAGAGCGTGACAGGAGTGTCATCTAAGGGATGCTTACTTGAACTTCATCTTTTATTTGCTACTTAATAGCTCTGAAAAAAGGTCTTTGGAGTTCACTTTATTGTGTTTTGTGAGTAACTTTTGAGTAGTAATTGAAACTTTAAATGAGTTTATCAATATGACTTTCATTAATTAAGTGCAAATTGTAATTAATGTTTTGGGGTGATATAAACACACAAATTCCCTTTCCTTCTCTCCAGTGCAACAGTATGCCAAGGGAGAATAATTACCCAGTACAGTAAAGGAAGGAATAACCAGTAATGAGTAGAGAGAACTCTGTGCGGTCACCTCAAGTATGTGAGAACAAATTAGAAAAGATGTTTTATGCATTAACAAGATCCTCTTCTATGAGTTTTAAGTGATGGGATTTCATGGTTTTATTAACATGGCTTATTTTAACTTTTCTTAGTTGGCATCATCACCACAAGTGTCAAACTTCAGCTCGCCCCTAAGCTGGGACTTCAAAAGTAGGTCTCTAAAAATACTGATGGAAAAATACATTGCTGAACATAGATATCTATATTAAAAAAGATGTATGTGAACAAAGGCTGAGAGGTAAATTTTGTTTTTTTTGAACCAGGCAGTAGGCCATTGAAGAAAAATAGTAATCTTTTCTAACAAATCTTTTCACATTTCCAATTTCACAGCAGATTTGAGTCCTCTCTCTGCACTGACTCTCACAAATGATCCCATGAAAGCTGGTAGAGCTTACTGATGAGTGAAATGAGGCATTACTCACTATGTCAGAATTGGATCTCCATGTCTGTTGTATAACTCAGACATTGGCAAGGTTTATGTTTGTTATACATTCAAGTTTCAATACACTTTGTAGGTTTTTAATGATGGAAAAACAAATTTCTCCTAAATTAAATCTTTGGTCTTATGACTCAGCAGCTAACAAGAAATTTGTAAGAAATAGGTGCTGTGATAGAAATATGATATTTAATGTGAATAGAGTTAATACTTCACTCTGTTTTGTATTGGAAGAGGTGTGGGCCTAACAATTTCAAGGCAGACCAGTAAGGGGAGCTCTTAGCAATACTTTAAACTGCTTTTTGTGAAATTGCTGCTGGTAATGGTGGGTCACAGATTTATTGTGCTTTGAAGCATTAATGTCTCACTCTGGAAATGCTTTAAGCTACAGATGAACTATTTTAACTTCAAAGAACCCCACTAGAAAGACATTTGTGCAGGAGAGTTTGGAATGCAATTTATTTAGCTCTGAAATTTCTTAGATGTTTAGTTACCTAATGTTTTCATTCTGTAATCCCACCACACTGTAATGATGCAACTGAAACTGTCATTTTCAGATGTTACTGCTTGGTCTGTATGTATCCACACCATTATCCTGCTTTCAGAGTTGCTCTGAATTAAGCCACATCATTTTCGGTGAGTGTAAATCAGAGGCCAGCAACAACAAAAACAGTTCCTGAGCTGTCCAAAGGAAAGGTTAACAAATTTCTACAATAAAAGTTTTAGTATGAGGAAAAACATGGTAATACTTTTCATACTAGTGGATGTATTTTTCATATAAGAAAAAATCTTGATAATAATCTGTCCTCTGATTGTGTGGCAGTAATAAGCAGTTTAATTACAGAATAGAAACTGCATTGAAATTGCTATTCATGAAACACTTTTTAAAAAAATAAAAAAATGTAGTATCTGTTAGCTTTTAGCTATGTGCTTTAAGCAATTCTAGATGGTAATAACAACAGCAAGTAGAAAGGTGCTGGAAGAAATGTTTTGTTTTTTCAAACACATAGCTTTATTATAGATAAAGGCTAATAGTACATGCGTAGGAATGTGCTCCAACACAAAATCCACTCAACACCAGAACTGTTGTCAGGTAACTGCTTAGCTGTAATAGTAGTCTCCCGGGAAACAAACTAACAACAAAATTCTGGGATGACAATAGGTTGAGGGATGTAGCACCTAGACCCACAATTTTTTACTTTTATTTTACAGGAAAGATGGGCCGAGTTGTAAATCACAGAAAACTTGGAATGGTGCCTACCTTTGTATCAGTGAAGGGTGTCACTTACAGATAAGTGTTGCACAATTGTGCAGTGTTGTCACTACTGACATATTGGCTATGCCAAGTAAACATGCCAAGCAATCCTCTAATCTGTCAGCAGTGTCAGTTATATTCCTGCTCTTTTGAAGGTAAAGGGTGTAAGAGCAAGATGGATGAGAAGGTAGAAAAGAGGCTTTTAACTACAATTTCCTGTTAAATTTTGAAATTAAACAAGATCACAAGCAACACAGGAAGAAAATTGTTAGTGCAGTTAAATTCTATTTATCAAATAAAAAAAAAACTTGCAATTATCTAGAATTTATTTTGCTTACAGAAGGTCCTGTACTTACCAGAAGAGCCAACGGATCAGATGGACTGGGAGAACAAGCTTTCTTAATGCTAGGACTATCTAGTTTCTGAAAAATACCTCTTTAACTGTAATGCATAGTGTGCTTTCTTCATTTGATTTTGACAGACAGTGTGATTGAGGACTGTAACATCTTTCTGATGATGACTGGGTTGCCATTGGGTAGAGGTAGCTGTAAATGGAGTTTGAGAAGAGCAAGAGAGAAGGAACAAGGAGCAGCCAAAGACAAGCATCTAAACAAATTTGTCATTAGGTCCAGGAAATCTGAATTTTTGGAAGCTAATAAATGTTTCCCTTTTGGCTTTGAAATTTAATTTAAAATTTTATTTAAATGTTCAGTAAAGTCATTTCTGCCTGTTCAGTCTCTGGTATGACGGCAGGAGTAAAAAGAAGCTGTAGGGAGAAGGGATTCTGAGGGTGTATTTGTTTCAGAAGCTGGTTCCTAAAGTTGTTTGCTACAAGTGTTAAAGACCTTTTCAATACGTAGAGTTATTCTTGTTCATTTCTTTCTTTAAATGTACTATAATAAAAAAAAAAAAAAGAACTGTGTGTGAAGATGCTAGGGAGAACTTTCGCTGATTGAATTGCTAGGTACAAGGAGCAGTGGTGAAGGAGGCTTTCATATAGTGGAATTTTTCATTATCATCATAGTTACATGGAGATCATAAACCAAAATAAGCCAAAGAAGCAAAGACAAGACTGATAAAAATGGCATACATTTAAGTCTAGTGGTCCAACATTGGCAATGCTTCACCTTTGTTCAAGCTTGAGATTAATCACTTGTATCAATATTTTAAAGTTTCTACTAGTCTGAATGATTGCCTGGGACATCTGGGGCAGAATTTCCTGGAATCTTATCACTTGTGAATAGATGGAGCATCAGTTCTAGGTTTTCCAGTCTCAAAGACTGCCACACTAAAACATGATGAGTAGTTTTGCCCTTGGTGCTAGCATCCAGCATCTAATGATGACAATCTTAGGTTTGTAATATCTGTAATGCAGTAGAGAATCACAGAACAATTTAGGTTGGAAGGGACCTCTGAAGGTCATCTGGTACAACTCCCTGCTCATGTAGGGCCACTAGGACTGCACAACTCAAGGATGGTGTACAAATTTAATTTTCTTGTAGAAGTCTGAAAATAATAATAAATATATGTTGCCAGTTTAAAAATGCATTATTTTAATTCTATTTGCAGAAAGTTGGGCAAATTATTGATGCCAAGCTTTCAATCCTGCAAAGAACTAGACAGACTAGTTTGTAGAGCTCAAAGATCTGCACAGATTCTTATAATGATGAAGTTTGTGAATTGAACTCATTTTGCTTGCCTCCTGTGAGTACGCTTGAGAGAAGAAAGAGCACTTTTTATTGTAGAAATCTTCTCCTTTGGCTAGCTCAAAAACTGTTTTTGTTTTTACTGTTGTTATCAGTTAGTTTGTTAGTTCTGCCCATTTCTCTTCTTAGTAAATGAACATAAAGTAAGTGTGCAAATGAAGAAGGCATGAAAAATGAAATAAAATGGTGGGGAAAAAAAAAAGTGCAACAAAAAACATTTAATGTGTGAAAGAGTGAATATCTTACCTAGGAAAAAAAAAAATAAAAATCATATGTTTGACACATTAATAATGCAAGTGAGTTTCAGAGGTTGTTTCTATGTGTTGTTATAGATAAGTGGGATTTGTCATCTGTTTTCCTGAAAAAGAGGCCAGGCTGTGATTTCATAGAGGGAAGGGTTATGAATACGGGATTAATGGTTCAAAGAAGTGGAATGGAAGGAGCTACTTCCTCTAATAGCTGGTTAAGTAAAAATCATCATCCTGTAAACGTGAAACTATCGTCCTGTTGTGACTGAAATGCACAGAATTGTGTTCCTTTTCAAACTGCACGATTGCTATTGCCATTGACATGAAACACTCTTAGAAAATACTGTGTGCAATTCCTTTTCTGTCGTTCAGATGTTTTTTCTGTTAGCTCTGTAGCATAATGAACTGGTCAAGCTTATTATTGGATGAATGGATGGAGCAGAACCTGTTGAAGGAAAGAGTGGTCTTTTCCCCTTGAGTTTTCTCTCACTGTTACATATTTTGTTTATTTAAAAATAGTTTGGGGTGTGAATTAAGTGCGTTTTAACATGCTTGACGATCCAAGAGTGTACTGTAAGCGGCAGGCAGGCAGAATGGCAGCTGCAAAAGACTGATGTGATGCAGTCATTTCTTTAGCTGTAACGTGGCTGTGTATAGGGCAGCAGCATCCTGGTAGGCAACTTAACGAGCATGTGCTATTGTTAAAAATGTTACAAGTTTTGTCTTCTGCTTTCTCTTTGGAAGCTGGGGCTTGCTTAGCAGCTAGGATGCCCCTGGGTCCCAGGTGCGGGACTCAGAGGTTGCGTTTGAGCTTGCTGTTGCTCCCTCGGGCGCAGATGGCTCGAGTTGAACCCAGGAGACGAGAAAAGAATTCAGCGATAGCGGGTTCGGCCCCTCAAAGCCTGCACCAAAGAAGAGCTCCCGCTGACGACGCAAAGTCAGCCCCGCCTCGCCGCCCCGCCGCCCCGCCGCCCCGCGTCCGTGAGGAGAGTCTGTGGCGTTGGGGGGGTGGCCCTGGGCCCGCGGCGCCGCACGACGGGGGCGGGGCCGGCGCGGGGAAGCGGCGGGGTCACGTGGCGGTGGGGTCACGTGGCGGGGAGTCGGGCCCAGCCGCCGCCGCCGATCCGGTAGCGGTGAGAGACGGAGACGGGAGGGAGGGCGCGGGGGGAGGCGGCGCGGGGCCGGGCCGGGGCGGGCGTGGGGCTGGAGCGCGGGGCTGCGAGCGGCTGCCGCCCGCTTCGCTGAGGTGAGTGCGGGGCGGGGGTGGGTGGGCAGCTCCGCGGCCGTCATCCTTTTGTTCCGGCGGGCGGGCAGCCCGCTCGGGGCGGGGGTCGCCGTCCCTGGCGATGGGCTCCGATTAGCCTGGGGCCGGCCGGGAAGCCCACGCTTTTCTCTGGTGCCGGCTGCGCCCGATACGGGCGGTGCGGAGCGGGCGGACTCCTTCGGGCCGGGCCGGCTGCACGGCTCTCGGGGTGCGATGCCGTCGGCGCCGCTTCGGCCCCGCTCGCTCCCCCCGTCCCTCCGTGCGGGGCTCTCGCGGGGCTCCGGGGAAGCGCCGGGGTCCGCCCGGCCGTGGTCGCTCCCGGGGCCGCGTCGTACAGCGTAGAATGGAACCGGCCGGCGGCTCCGAGTGCCGCTGGGTGCCCGCTTCTCGCAGCGGCGGTTCGGGGAGCGTGCCCGGGTGTCCCGGGGGAACACGGGGTGAAGGGCCGCCCGGGTTATCGGTACGTTCGGGTGCTCGGAGCCCCGCGGTATCTCGGGGAAGGACCAGACAAAGGCCTCCGTAGAGAAGATCTTTCTTTGCTTCTTGAAAAGAGGGGATTGCAACCGCGTCGTTTTCGTCGGTGACTTCATTTTGCCGGGCTGAGAGCGCCTGTCCCGGTGTTGGTGGTGGGTGAGCGGCGCGCCGTGCTGTAGCTAGGTTAGGTAAGAGGTACGTGCTGCTGCTGCTGCGTTCCGCACAGCAGCTGCAAACAGCGCAGTTGTTGCTTAATGGATGTCTTTGAAAATGATTTGTGAAGTGTAAGTCTGAAGCCCTAAACTATCTGACTAATGAAATGCAGAATACCAAGCGCTCGCTCGGAAAGCAAGTGCTTTGCCATCGTACGGTGCTGGCACCCTTGAAGATGACGATGTGAATGTGAGCCACAAATGTTAAACTGTTCCTATTGAAAGCTTACTCAGTTCTCACTTAAAAAAAAAAAAAAAAAAAAAAAAAAAAAAAAACAAGCTTTTCACAGAACAGACTTCTCCTTCTCTTTACATCACGGTTCCTGGTTACACTGCTTCGATCGTACCATCACAGATTTTTCTGCAATAGCAAACATGATGGTGATCCCAGGGGTTGCTCTCAACTCCATCTTGCAATCCTGATGGAGAAACAGCTTCATGCCAGCAGCCCCTAACCCAAGAGCTCTTGGAAGGGAAATGTGGACAAGTGGGCCTTGATTTTTTATTGGTGATTGGAGCCAAGTGAGATGGAACTATTTCCAAAAATTGTCTGTCTTGCACTGCCCCCGTGGTATTTTATAAAAAGGTAGTTATCAATTTCTATGGGGCTGAAACAAAGCAGTAGGCTGTGGTCTGTGTGTAGGTAGATGCTTTGAAAATCACAAACAGCCCAGAAGACTGCCAGCTATTGCTGTTGTGAATGACTTCTATAGAAAGTGGATTGTTTTGTACAATACATCACTATTTTGAATGGCAGCCTGTGGAATTTGTTCTCACCTACTCAACAAGTGTTTATTCCAAAGCCCTTCTCATATTTCACTATTCCGAAATTGCCTATTCGCTTTGGGAGCTATACTGAGTTCCTGATGGGCAGTTCCTTCACTGTATTTTTTTCAGTAAGTTGCTGAATAGATTCAGATGGTTCTGTTGTAAGCTTACACCAAGCAAAGTGCTGTGGTGTAACTTCTGTAAGCTCCCCAAATCCTTTTATCACATAAATGATTGCTTCTGCTGAACTGCCAAATAAAATTTGTTTTGTTTATAATTAACATCCAGGAAGAAAATTAGTACACGCTTCATGTTATTATTAAGCTTACTTAGAATGTACAGCTTTTAACAGTACTTTTCGTTAGTTGGTTTCAAAGCTCTCGCAAAAGAATTCAATGTAATCGTGATTTTCTTATTTGACGGTCACCACCTAGCGCTCATAAAGATATCATCATCCAACTGTGAGTGGCTCTAAGTTGCTCTAAGAAACTCTGTAAGAGGTTAAAAAATCATGTATTGATTTAAAAACCTCATCTCCTTATGGTAAGACCCCACAAGTTCACATTTGAACAGTTTTTTGTTGTAGCGCTTTTATTTTGCTTAGTGGTGCCCGAAGTCATGTTGCACAGTTCCTCCCATGTTTTGGCTGGGAGCTAAGCTTGCTTGTTGTTAGGTAGAACAGGCTTCTTTGCTTCGTATCAGAAGAGACCCTGCAGAAAGCTTAACCAAATTCATGTATGAGTTAGAGAATGATTCAGGTCAGGTTACTCTTACGGGGCTCCAAGTAATCGCTGTGCATGCCTCCAGTTACCAAAGAGCTTGGTTGCAGAGTGTGTTTGTACAGATGTCTTTTGATATCTATTAGAAGTGGGGGGAGTTTTGAATGAGTTACTTGTATTGCCAGAACCATTCCATCTTCTTGGCTTTCTTCCTCTTCAGCGTGCAGAAGCTACGTGAGAGGTAGTGATTTGGAATCTTCCTTTTGTTGCTATTGACTGGAACTGTTTCTTCTTGTTAAGCATCCCATTTTTTTGTAATGCTTCTGGAAGCAGAACAAACTTCTGGTACAGTAGATATGAGGTGCACCCTCTAAAATAGTGTATTTTTTTTCCCACTCAGCTATCTCTACCAATTTTGGTGTGCAGATTATCACCAATTTTATTATTGGTGTGTTTTAATAAGCAATCTAGTTTAGGACTTGAGATCTCTTATACTGTGTTGATATCTTCCAAAATGGCACAAAGAAATTGTTTTCTGTTTTCTAGTTGGAAACAATGGAAACATTTAAGGATAACAACACTTGCTAGTAAATACAAAAGATTTTATAACAGCGGTGTTACAGTTTTATTTGCATGGAAACTCCTTGTGTGTGATACTGTCCAGAAGTGTGCTTATGTCTTTACATAACATACATATCGCCTTCATTAGGGAGATAGTAGGGCTTTCCTATGGTAGTGAAATGCTTGCAGGCAGCAAGCACTGAAATCAGTGATTTCAGTTGGTTCAGTTTCAGAACAGGGCCTGCCTGTAGGCACAACAGGATCTAGACTTGTTAGATCTGTGTAGATTCAGATTATTTTGGAAAAAGATTCAAGGGGTTCAGTTTCATGGAGGAGAATTTTTTGCCTATTTGTGTGGTCATTATTTTGTGGCTCAGCACCTCTAGTCTTTGGGGGCTTGGAGGGTTGACATGGCTATTGCTTTCATCCTTGTTTATTTCATCTGCTATTGTCTGTTCTGTGTTATTTTTAATTAATGTCCTTGTTTACCTACTTTTACAGTACTTAAAAGTTTAACTTTTTAAATGGTCTCTAATAGTTTTTGCTTTGTGCATATATTATGGAAAACCTTAGTACTCCTCAGCTGCACATCAAATCCTTGATAGCTAGAATCTATCACAGATTCTGGAGAGCCTCCCACTAGAAATCTGGGCCCTTTGCATGGCATGGAGATCCTAGCTCGTTTGATTGTTGCCCATGCATAGTTTCAGTGCCAGCAGACTCCACCCTGCTAGGAGTCATATATGCTTTCCTAGTTTCCTGGGTTTAAGTCATCACTGACGCCTTTGTCTAGTGCAGAATTCTCTTTGCAAAACATGTGTTTGAAGATTAATTTGCCCATTAGAATGTAAGAAATCCGGCATTTTTCAGTACTAGTACCGGTTATTCTTTTGCTATGTATAGAATAAATTCCTCTCCTGTGAAGACATTCTTCTCATTAAATGTTTGCTGAAGCGAATATCTTGTCAGCTAAACTGATTTCTGAATAAATCTTCAAACACTTCTTGTTTCATTAGTTTGAGTAATAATTGCTAAGTAAAATTTGGAAGGAGGCCAAACCCATATCTATTCATACAGCCATTTGAAGAAAATTACTGCATATACTTTACTGGTGCTACCTGGCACCACTTAATCAGATGAAAAACATAGGAAGGATTCCGATGTTGGATACAGTATGAAATAAAAGCAGTGTTTTTCATACAGAGGGTGGTGATGCACTGGAACAGGTTGCCCAAAGAGGTTGTGGATGCCCCATCCCTGGAGGCATTCAAGGCCAGGCTGGATGTGGCTCTGGGCAGCCTGGTCTGATGGTTGGTGACCCTGCACAGAGCAGGGGGATTGAAACTAGATGATCACTGTGGTCCTTTTCAACCCAGGCTGTTCTATGATTCTGCACATGTGTTAAGATCATTGCTGTAGAGCAATGTTTTTGGAGATGAGCAGAAATAAAGCCATAATGAAAAGCAAAGGTGGGCTGATTGCTGTGCCAGCAGTGGATCATATTCCACATGGGCTTCTTAGTTGGAGAAAGATCTTGACTTGTGATGTTCTTACATTGAGAGGGGAGGGTGCAAGAGCAGCATGTGCTCCTTTTTGTTCTGTGTTGGTGCAACACCCAGTGCAGTGGGAGCCTCATTCTGTTTTGCAGCTAAGTGCTGCTGGCTGTGCTTCATAGAGAATGCAGCTCTGCTCCATCAGAATGGTGGAGTGACTTCTAGGAAATCCTGTTAGTCAGAAATAACTAAAAAATAGAGCGTAGCCCCAAAGGTCTACCTGTCTAATACCTGGCTAAAGTACATGGAAGGGAGACTAACACAAATCCTCTCTTGTAGATAACAGGCTGTGGGTAATAGTTAACATTGTATTAAAAATATCACAGATGTTACTCGGAAAGCTATTTTAAGTGTTAAGTAAAACTCAAGGGGGGAGTGAATTCAGCTAAGGGAGAAGGAGGAAGAGTTATCTATTTGTGGTGCCTTCCCCAGCTCTCGTGAGTGATGCAAGTATATTAAGAACTGTTGCTATATAAATATCTTGGCTGCCATACAAGTGCCCTACATAGTGCTTTAAAATGAGGGAACTGAGCAGTGTAGGTGTTGAACCAGCTTTAGATATTTTCCCTTCGTTTTCCCCGTGCAAAGAAATGCAGACCAAGAATGAGTTCCTACCAGAGGTGTTTTCCACTTGAGTATCTTGTTTTGATGGTGAGTGATAGCAGGTGCCTAGGGCGTGCAGATAGCTGGATTGTCTGAAGGAAGCTTCCCCAGCTTCTAGCAGGGTGCAGTTTAGAGACCTCTAAACAGACAATTTGGTATTGAATCGTTTGGTTTTTAATAGCTGTGGTGAATTTGTGCAGTCTCTTTTTGAACCCTCAGAGACGTTAATATCTGCAACATCTAGTGGTGCAAGAATGATAGAAACGGAGGTGTTCATTTCTAGTTAGAATCACAGACTGGCTTGGATCAGAATGGGCTTAATACATCATTGAATTCCAGCCCTCTGTGCTGTTCCACTGTTGCCAGGTTAAAAGCTATGATCCTCCACTCCATTTTGCACAGTGCAAATGCTTGATATTTTTAATTTGTAAAATTTGATATCAAACTTGTATGGATGAGGTTGACTGCTTTATGTGTACATCTGGATTGTCAGACATGTGCAAACTCTATCTTACTTACTGGGAAGCAACTCTTGTATCTTCTCACTTTTAGTAATGTCCTGTTTGCTTA